GGAGGTCTATCGGAGGCCTCGGGAGCTGGCGTGAAAAGAGCCAGGAATAATGGTTGTTCTGACAAATGGGAAACGTCACGCTCACTGACTTTCTTCACCTTTCCTATTTTGTTGGAGCTTTATTTGACACCGTTAAACAGTTTTAAAGCCACATTCAAGTAAAAAAATATGTCATCTATGAAATCCAATTCAGGCAGAAGGCAGAAGAAATAGATGGTATGATTTACCGTAACCTGAAACTACACAGAGGTGGAATCACACCGTGTTTGTGTTTCGTCAGGTTGTTCCTACCGTGGCACACAACATTATGAAACACATGAATATATCAACTGTGATAGCTGCTGGAGACAGGCCCTCTAGATCTACACTAACAACTACAATAAAAAATAAGTTATGCACAAGCAAGAGGAGGATGAGCGGCCACGCTGTTTCACTAAAGGTAATCTGCACTTTAGTTCTTGAGATGTTTACAGATCTGAAACGGTACAGAACATAGAGTACCTACAAGTCATTATGTTTGGCTTAGTTTATAAAAATATTAAGATTCAGGTATGACTTAAAGGTTCTGGGCTCAAATGCACCGCAGAAGGGCAATAAAATTTGCATCATAAAATATTTATAGATACAAGGGTTCCTGAAAAATAAATGACTGTGGGGATGTGAAGGCTAATTTATTGGGTCTATATCTGTGTAAACCAAACACAGTAAAAGTTTCAGTTTAGAGAACTTGATGGGAAATTTTATTTACAGTAAAGGTGCTGACGTTGACCAAATTAAAAGCACAAGGCAGGAAGTTAGGAAATAAGGAAATAATAATCCAACAGTTCTGAATTTAAACACCATGTCTGGTGAAAGTCACATTTTTACGTTGTTAACAACAACATGGCTGAGTGCTTAGAGCCACGTACATAACAAACCTAAGGAACCATCCTGTGATCTTGCAGGCTGGGCCTTTCTGTATTAATATTCTTTTCAGAATTAGTTTTTGGTCCTAATGTGTATCGCTGAATTTCTAACAGTGTTTGAGCTGAATCATAGGAGAGCTGGTGTGCTTCAGCTGCAGCAAGAAGAGAGGCATGGGCACTATAAACCTACACATGCCAGAGGAAGCAGCCACGCAGAGTTACATCAAGACCGTTTTAGCGACTAATCTCATGAAGAAAAACTAAAAAAATACATAATTTTACACGAGAAGATGTGTTGTAGGGCTGTGATCCATGACTAGAGAGGGGCCAAGAGGTTGTGATAATAACATAAACTGTGATTTCATTTTCATTCTTTTTGTAAACACCACATATCGCACTTCATTAGTTATAACAAGGTGGAGTTACATCATGACTGAGCTGCATTCATGAGAGAGTTCAATCATGAAACTCAGCATCCAGTCTGCATGCATCTCCACATGCTGCAGCCATCAGACGTGTTGATGATGGATACATCTTCTGTTGAGGGACTGCGTTGATAAGATGATCTGGTTAAACAACTCAAATACTGAAGGGGCCCACATTGTATCAGCATACATCTCCCATGCAGCTGAAGCAGTCGGGATATTGGCCACGAGTGGTAGAGGCAGCCTGACGTTGGCTAAAGAACTGGACAGAAAACTGAAGCTGGATGTTGGAGGATCAGCAAAGCCATTAGGATTCATCCCCTGGAGAGCTGGAACATCTGCTCTGCATTAAATTTAATGGCAATCCATCCGGTGCTTGTCAAGAGTTGGACCGCCACTGTTCAAGACGACATTGCAAGAGTAGCTACTGGCAAAAGATATAAATCTAAAGAAACCAAACAACCAGCGAAGACTCATTTTGACTAAATGCTGAAACAGTGCAGATGACAAAATGATACGAGGATTTGAGAAGTTTTGTCTCGTACTATTCTTTTCACATCTCCTCTGTGTATGAAACCCAGAGTGTTACCATCTCCACTGACTTGAAGACCAGAGGTGTGTCCTTACGGCCTCTTCCCTGTCAGCTGTGCCATGTATTTCCCAGCAGCAATTATGGTTAAAGGTTAAGTGTCACCACCACACTCCTCCTTCAGCTGTAAATGCAGGGATCGTGGTGAACTGACTGATCGCTGCCTCCACTTGCAGCACATCTTGGTGAGAAGAGAATCTCCCTGTGTGGTGATTCTATAACCACGGGAAGGTAAGGGTGTGCATGCGTTGGCAGGCGTGTGGGCAAGTGTGTGCACACGTGTAGAAATGAGATGTCTTGAGACCGCTGCATGATGCACGCTCTCCAGATCTGTTGCTAACCTGCAGCACATCTCTTATATAATGGAAAGTGCTACAAAAAAAAGAGTCTCAGTTCACAAGCATGTACACTTCTGCACAGACTCCCACTCCCTCAGACACACACTATAGTATTCTCCTCACATTATCTGGTCCCTCACCCCAAGCCGATCATCTCACCAGTGCCAGAAAACAACCATCCGTGCCAGGGATTGTTGCATCCATCAAACCCGGAGCCCATAAGGTAAAACAACACCTCAGTGGTTCTGTGACTGTATTTACTGTGGTGGTTGGCAACTGTTCGCCCACATGCTACAGTATCCGCATTGTCTCACCCACTCACACACGCTGAGGTGCTGGTGGGAAGGTGGAGAGCCTACAATTTTTTTGAGTAGATGGAGCAATAATGCTGCTTACACACAAACACACAGGGACACACTGCAACACCGTCAGGATGCACTTTGAATTTTTTCCAGGAATAAACTCCTGATAACTTGTGAATGCAAATGTTAAAATGACTGGAAGTAAGGATCAGTCACAACCTCTGCAGCACGCAACATGTAAAAGCCCGTGTGTTCACAGAAATGGTTGTAAAAATGGGTGACACTGAGGAAATGTGCAAGTCTCACGACATGGTTAAGGCTACAAGTGTCTCCCTCCACCCAGCACATCACAATTAACTGCGCTATCACTGAGCAGGCTGTGAATGAGGAGGATCTACACCAGCCTCATCTCCAGCCACCGACACATATATATTTAACCGGCTGTAATAAAGCTCGGGCCTGGCTCTGGTGTCGGATCGCTCCTCTCCGTCTCACCTGCTCATTCGCTGCCAGCTCCTTCTCCAGCTGTCGGTGCTTGTTGTGCCACACCAGATAGTGGATCGGATAACGACTCTTCTCCGGAGTTTTCTTGGCAGAAATCATCCTCGGATCATAGTTTGCCTCCTCCTCTGTCTTCGCTGTGGATCGCAAGAATACTTTTGTCGGGAATTCACGCTACACACTGAAGCCTATCATCCTTGATCGGCGCTGATGCCCGAAGGCGGACAGGGCAACCTCACGCGTCGGGCGCAGAGGGAGGATGATTCACTGCTGCTCTGCTCACAGATCAGTTAGAGGTAGAAACCCCCTCGCCTGGTCGTCTCCGTGGATCACAGGCTACACCTTTATTTCTCATCCACCCGTTCCTCCAACCTCCTGCCTCTCTCTCTCTCTCTCTGTGTCTCTCTCTCTTCCTCCCCTGCCTACTCCAACACATCTATCCTCCTCCTCCTCCTCCTCTCCTCCCATCCGGTGGTGACTGAGAGAGATGCGTTGACAAGCTGCAATGAAATGTGCGCACACTCAGCCAATCGGCTGTCAGGGATGGTGTGATAGAACACATGCATCATGAAAGAGAGCCGCAGAAACGGAAAAAATATGTTTAAAAGGAAGTGCATTAACAGCATGCAGGGATTTAGCAGTGATCTGTGGTTTTCACTGCATCAGTTCTGGGTGATAAATGAGTCCTGGGCTGGCTGGTAGTGGGCAGCACACCCTGGATGTGTGCTGTGGTCTCAGTGGGAATCATTTTTAAATCATATTGTGACACAACATGCTTTTATGTTTTGTTGTGTGTGCACAGGTGCTCCCAGGAATTTTAAATTTGCATGGGGACTTGTATGGGGAGTGTATTCCTGGAACAAAGTGCACAGTGAGTCAGTGGGGCTTTATGGATGTGTGAAGAGACTCTTTCAGCAGCAACTACAACAAAACTACACAAGTGACTGCAGCAACACAATATTAGTCTATGAATCATTTCAGAATTAAACTGAATGTGACATTTAAAGTTTAAATCATAGCTTGAGTATCAGTCCAGTCTGGTGCTTTGGTCTGGTGACCTTTTTATTGGCTTCTATTTAGTGGGTTTTATCTTTTGAAATTGCATGTTTACTTTAATTTAAAATGTAGTCAATTCTGCTGCAATGAAAGACTCCAATAAAAACAGACTAATGATTAAAACAGCAGCAACAAACATGTTCCATTTATTTATCTGATGTCTTATCTATAAATGTTAATAATGTGCATTTCTGCTGTTCACAGTGAAGTCAGTGACTGACCCTGGTCGTTGACTTTCTGTTCAAAGGAGGAAGATGTTCTAATATTAATATTATGTTTAATCACACCTGACAACAGCGGTTTATCGTCTGCATCCTCTGCTTTAATCCCGGTAATCCGCTGCGCTCCGGCCGACACTCTGCCGGTGCAGCCTGGGTGTGTGTCTGACAGGTGGAGAGCTGCCGTCTCTCGGTCGGTCGCAGCTAATGCAGCGAACAGATTTACGGTAGCGATGCTCCGGTACGAGCTCCACACCGACACACTGGCCGTGTCCACCTAACTCGGCCCGGAGTTCAGCAGCGACGGTGGCCGAAGACACCGCAGGAATTATCGGGACATTCTACTGTCAGCTGGCCGGGGAAGCACATCGCACCGCCCGGCTTCCGGGGATTCAGGGGCCGCATCGGTTGACGGCAGACGTCGGTCGGTAGCTCGGGGGAAGACGGGCGAATTTTCACATCACCGCCGACATCCAGCTCTCGATTTCAGCCGCTTTCGAGATGTCAAGAAAGCTGCAGAGGACAGAAGTCTGCGCCGACTGCAGTGCGCCAGGTAGGAGAAGGAAAAAGCCCAAAATAGACCTTTGTGCGGGAACAATACGTCGGTGGGGCGACGTGGTTGGCGAACAGGCCGCCGGGGCTGTCACTGTCAGCGGGTCCGCAGAGCAGGAAAACGGCCAGGGCTCCGAAGCGCCGCGTAGGCCCCAGATAAACAGTGAAAATAGGCGTGTGACCACAGCGGGGCTGTCTGGAGCTAACAGCCGCTCGGCGCCGGAGCAGCTCGCCGAGCAGCTCCGTGTTAGTGATTGTGTGAGCGGGACCGTGTGTGAGGAGCAGCCGGTGAGCTGCAGCGGAGGACGGTGTCGGTTTAACGCCGCTTCCACCGGGAGCCGCGGTTGTTTTGGTTCCAGTGACCGGGGCAGACTTCCCAGCTAGCTTAGCCTGGCTAGCGAGCTGCTGGTTCTGAGTCTCTGTGCAGCGGGCTAATATTCAGGGTTTAGGCTGAACGTACCAACACACTATCAGGGTTGTGTTTGTATACTTACTGACTTCAGGCTGCAGGGTTTACGGTTTATAATTTTTTATGGTTTTCTGATTTAGTGTCCCTAACACACATAGCCTAGCTACGGCGGTAGCTACTTTAGCTAACTTTTGCTCAACGCAAGTTAACGCCAGGCTGCATCAGCTAACGCCTCAGCTAGCAGCCAGGAGGCATCATCTGCTAAGTTTAGATTCATAACAATAAATTGTGAAGAAAAAACTTATTCAGGGAGCGTTTCTATTTATTTAGCTTGGTTTATTCTTTAACATTTAGTGTCTTCTCTTCAGTTTACACGTTTTTAGCCACGAAGAAGCTGAGCAGTGATTCATTGAAGCCCTGCTAAAGTGGAGCAGTGAAGCCAGTCCAACGTACAGCTGGAGACAAGGAAATGCACAGAAGCAAATGCTCTGGAAAGACATAGTAAAGGGCACATTTAAGCTGATCCAACCCGAGTAGAGAGGAGTAGGTCCACTTGTCATGTGACAGTCCGTACAGTGAAGGCCACATGCATCTTCACTACAATGAGCTTTACTCTGTGGGCTGGATCCACCTGGCCTGGCCCTCCTGTGCTGTGGACAGTGAAGGTGGAGGTGAAGCCAGAACATGGCCTGGTGGTCCCTCCCTGTGCTCCTGTCCTGCAGCCTCGCATGCTCTCATGTTTAGTTGACTCACAGTGATGTGCTGCCTGCATCCATTCATGTGTACACGTATGAGAACAGCTGCTCTCCCCACAGCTGCTGCCCTGATCATACTTGTATGTTTGGGCCTGCAGACTCTCATCAGCATTAAGGCCTCACTTTTCAGGGTTCACAACCTCACTAGCTGCACTTTGCTGCTCATTTATGATCTGAACCTATAACCTGTACAGTTACTAACATGTTACATCACCTGTGCTTCTTTTCTTGTGTCGCCTCAAATGCTTTTCCCACTTACAGATGGGATGAGCATTAACCAGCCCCAATTAGACTGCTTTCCTTTATTACTGCAACAACTTACAGAATAATTAATGTACTGAGAAAATAATCCTGTTTGCAAAAGTGCTCTAGGACACTACTTCCTCAGAGTAAATGGGTTATCTTCTTGCGGTGGGTGTGAGTGTACCTGTTCCGAGCTGTGTGTGTCTTCTCCCACCGTCAGCCCTCTGCATGCAGCCCCTCCTCACGGCGACATGCACACACACGCAGTGCATTCTGCAAAATGCTGACCTAGCCACTGGTGACAGGCCACCTCCCTGCTACCAGCTTTGTGTCCTACCAGGGGATGACTCCATGGCATGGCTACAAAGGACGACTGATGCTCCCATCCCTAGCCAAGCCTCAGGAGGCGTTAATGTCACACCACGGCAATCTGCACAGTTTATAGCGACGATGAATCATGTCGTCATGATAGTAAACCCTTTATTGAGCACAGATGCAATTGTTTGAGAGATGGAGACTCTTGTGAAAGCATACAGAGCTGAATCCATGTGTTTGTCAGATTATCAATCTCTGCTGCTGTTGTTGCTGCAGCCTGTTTTGTTAAATGCAAAACCTCAGAGAAACTAAAATAGATTAACCAAATAGTGACCTGGACCAGCAAATGGACTGACTATTGTTATGTTATATTGTATTAAAATGGCTGTTTGCAGCTGTGAGATTCCTCCGGTGAACTATGAATCAGCCGCTGGTAGGATTTTGTGTAGAAACTAACCAGTAACCAGTCAGAATATGTAAATGCATGCAGCCTGTGATTGCAGCAAGAGCTTCCCACATTTTAAATGCTGTTAGTTACCATCACTGCTAGTTATTGCACATTTATGCACGCTTAAGTGACACTTATAGAAACAAGTGTCAATACTTTATTGATGAATTAGGCTAACTTTAGGCAAAATTATGTCATGCTGCAGGTTTGGCCAATACAGCACTGCTAATAGTCTATCCAGGTCGAATAGCTTAATGGTGTAGCCTCGTATTGATCCAGCGGGCCAAGCAGATAGACCAGCCTGTGGGAGTTTTTATATTTATTACACAGATTAAGGAATTAAATTGCTGCAGTCCGGCCTTTAAAGCCTACGGGCTACTGTTCTAAACTAGGCTATAGCTCTTGTCAAAGCCATTTTGCATTTGCTGCTACTTTTTCTGCAGGCAAAAAGACTTAAAGCGTGTCAGTTCATCTGATGATGGACTATTTTAGCTCCATTAATACCCTAAGCCCAGACAGTTTTATCCCAGCCTGAGAGCGACTAATGCAGATAATAGATATGTGTGTGTTTGTGCATGAATCATGTAAGTGTGGCGGGATGCTTGTTTTCATGCTGCAGACTGTGTTAGTTGTGAGCCACTCATCCCATCAGGGTCCTCAGGGCGTAAACATGACCCAGACTCTCTGACTCTTCGGTGTCAGAACCCTGACTGGCCTTTGCTGCTTCCCCTCATATCCTCATTCACACTCATTTGTTCCTGTTTAAAAATAAGTTCCAGGTACTCAAAAAGTGACTCTCTCCTGAGGACTTTCTACGTCACTGCAATACTGCACCAAAGAGACTAAAACATGAAAAGTCAGACACTGTCAGAAACGTTTGCTGGAGCCAGTGAGGCTCCGCTTGTCTTATTCCAAGCTGCTTATGACTCAAAGATCAGAGCTTATGTCGGATGTATGCGCTTGTAGCAGCATGCACGTTTTGGGACTGTGTCTTTTGTCAGAAAGGGGTTTTTCTGTGTGTTTATCTGTTTTTTATATTCTATGTTCCTGTAATACTTGGCCAGACCAGTGAAGTATAACAGGGTAGAACAATGTTCTGTTGCCTTGACTCTGACCTTCAGCCCTGCCTGCTGCACATTGTTAGTTAGCTTGTTGTAGCCTGCTGCTGTTCAGAAAAGTCTGACACAGAGCCCTCCACTGGTGGACGTTTAACAGCTCACAACAACTAGCGAGTAGTTTGTGTGTCTTTCACACAGTGTGTTTACAAAGACTGTAATACCATCTGTGTGGTTCTGTTTTCCTCTCAGATCCAGGCTGGACCAGTATCAACCGAGGGGTCCTGATCTGTGATGAATGCTGTTCGGTCCACCGCAGCTTAGGCCGCCACATCTCCGTCGTCAAGCACCTGAGACACAGCGGGTGGCCTCCCGCACTCCTGCAGGTAAGGCTGGGGAGAAGAGGAGGAGATGGGAACATGGAAGGACTCGTAACATAAAAGCAAATACAGCATCCAAAGCATCAGAATAGTGCCACAAAAAGAAGGACTAGTATAGAATCTGACTCAGCACAGAGGATGTAAATGCATCCCCATAGCTGTGGGAGAAGTTTGGCTTTTGCTCTGTGGTATTTAAATTCTATGCTTATCCTGCTTTTGTCCATGTCTAAGTATCCATGTCTGGTGTTGTCCATGTCTGTTTGTCTCAGTTCGTCCAAAATGCAGGTTGAGTAGCTTCGTGTTGCCTCAGCTTTATTCTGTGATTAAGAAGGCATGAAACGAGTGTGGGAGGTTTTGGCTGTATCGGTTCTATAACCATCTCCGATTCCAGCATTGAACACACAGATATGCGTTAGAGATGTACTGTGGCCTTAACAAAATGTACTTCATCATCACTGAGTCACTGCTGTGTGTGTGTGCTTCAGATGGTTCAGACCTTGGCCAGTAACGGGGCCAACTCCATATGGGAACACAGTCTCCTGGACCCTGCTCAGGTGCAGAGCGGTCGAAGGAAACCGAACCCCCAGGACAAGGTCCAGTAAGTGTACTCCCTACACTCCCCACAAGATGAACACACTGAGAACAACAGTAAAACACACAAATGTTATTGTCCCTCTCTGAACGTAATTGCTGTTTTCAGTGGTGGAAGGAATTGCACCCAGTTGTTGCTTAATGCTCTCTAAACAGTTTGCTCAAAGTAATGGATCACCTTCCTAATGAATATTGTTCTGTTGTATCACTGAATACAGGCTATGATTTGCCCACTTGGTGTTGGTGCTTTTAGGTTTATAGCTGTGGGAGTCATAAGATCTAGAATTGGGCCTGGAGGAAAAATATTTGCTCATTTCTTTCAGGTTACACAAATCTGGAAGTGTAGTGTAGACAGCATCTTAAAAGTTACTGCATCTTACATCAAATGTATGTGTTTGTAAAACAAGCAGGGAGCTAGTCGTAACCCATCAGCTCCGGTTTATTATGGAAATCAATTGTCCACTACTGCGGGGAGTTTCTATATTATTCTGCAATGTTTGTAATTACGAAGCAAACCGTGCAGGAACCCAGCTCTGGCCTCGCGCAGAGAAAGAAGCGTCGCTGGCGTCTAACCACAGAGTCAAGAATTCTCATTTGATGAGAGAATAGGTGAGACTAGAGAATAGGTTCTCGGCACAAAGGATCAAGAAGAGGAAGAAAAAGGTGAAATCAAAGCACAAATTGCTTTTCAGTCAAATACAAATCACCTTACCTGTGCTAACAAAAACTAACAGAAGTTTGTGTATTAGTGGATGCAGTCATGATGCTGAAGCCCTTATTGCAAAACAAAAATCCCCAGTGCCTATCAGGAATAACATTTACTGTGTGTAGCAGACTGTCATGCAGTTGTGATGGCATATTCACATTAACTTGCTTTCTTTTGAGGGCCGTGACCTTTGCTCACCATCTTTCCTTCTCCTCCTGTGCAGTCCCACCAAGTCAGAGTTCATCAGAGCCAAATACCAGATGCTGGCATTTGTGCACAAGCTGCCCTGCCGCGATGACGACGGTGTCACTACCAAGGACCTCAGTAAGGTAAGGCTTAGGACTTCACAGCAACGGACTTATATCTGTGCCTCATTGCTGGGAGAGATTATTTGCAGGTACATACAACATATTATAAAGAGGAAGTATTATAATTCAAAGAATGCTTTAGTTTAAGTGAGCAGAAAACGTATTTTGTCCTTGGTAAATTTAATACTGCATTTTCTCTTATCGCTGATCACATAATCAGTCACAACATTAAAGGCACTGACAGATGTTTTTGTTATTGTGGCACTTGTCAAAGAGGTGAATACGTTAGGAATCACGTGTCCATCAGTGCCTGAAGTGGATGCATTAGAAGAAAGAAAGAAGGCGAAGTGTAAGGTGGTCTGATCACACAGAAGAGCTGTTGTAGAGCAAACTGCTGCAGACCCTGATGCTGCTGTGATAGAAAGCTGTCAGAACCACCAGTGCTCTGCAGCGTTTTGTAGCCACACATTGGTCACAGGGCCAGTACTGACCCCACCCACCAATGGAAATGTCTGCAATGTTCACATGAGCATCAGAGCTGGTCTGAAATCTGGGTCCTGGTGGATGGGGTGCTGCTTTGACACCTGTCACCTGCCTTAGCATTTTTGCAGACCACGTACACCTCTTCCTGGCCACACTGTTACCTGATGGCAGCAGCCTCTCTCAGCAGGATAATGCAGCCTGCCTCCCTGCAAACACTGTTCAGGAACAGTTCCAACCCACGGAGGCCCCGCCTCGCCATTACTAGGACTTTGAAAATGTGTGTTGGTGCCTAATACCACAGGAGAGATCTGAGACTAGGCCTTAATTCACCAGGGCTGTGTCAGTGGCACAACACCGTATTAACCAGGTGGTTTAATGTCGTGGTGAACTGGTCTCAGTGCAGAATGATGACTTGGTTTCACTCATCACCCTCTCAGTGTCCCTGCCCAGTGTTTCTTTACTTATTTTATATTCTTTACTTGTTTCTTTACGGTACTACTGTGTATGTACAGCAAAATGAAATTAAACTTGATTTGATTTGATTGATTTGATTAACATGTGTGCACTGTGCAGGTTTGCTGCACACTCACTCTGTTGTGGTGTCATAGTGTGCCATAAAGTCTATCAGGAAACTGGAGTGGCTGATTTAACCTGCAGTTTAATCTGCCTCTGATTGCCAGTAGTGTTATTAGTTACCTGTGCGCAAATATAGCTCGGTCCACAGATGAGGGTTGAGATGAGTTCAGGCTAATTAGCCCATATGGACGCAGCCATACTGAGGAACAGCATGTCCAAGCACAAAGGTTGTTTCATTTAGAAATGCCAGTAGGAGACCTTGCACATGAAGTCGTACATGTGCGCTCACACCAACACGCACTCGCTCTCCCTCGTAAACCCCCTGGCAGGAAGTGGTCTGAGTGACGCAGCAGGATGTAATAATGATCTCTAATGCTGTGGAGCTCCACTGGGCTAATAAGGGAATTCTGCCTGTTTCTGTCTCCAGGATGTTCAGTCTTTATACGTCTGACTCTGTTTTTTTTGTCTCTCTCTTCTCTCTACCTGGCCTCTGTTTTTCTCTATCAGCAACTTCATTCGAGTGTGCGGACGGGGAGTTTAGAGACGTGTCTGCGGCTCCTCTCCCTTGGCGCTCAGGCTAACTTCTTCCACCCGGTCAGGAGAGATCTACTTGCTGACTCACACCATCTAGCAGTGAGCCATGCTGTTCAGCTATTCTCTTTATGCGAGGCCTCTAGTTTTGATTGTGTGATGTGTGTGTCCACCTGACCTCCAGGAGAAAGGCACCACCCCGCTCCATGTTGCAGCCAAGGCTGGCCAGATCCTGCAAGCTGAGCTGCTGGTCGTGTATGGTGCAGATCCTGGAGCACCGGACATCAACGGACGCACACCTATGGACTACGCCAGGTACAGGACAGCGAACACAGATGGCTCTCTAATGTAGTCTCGCATCAGATCATGTCACTGGAGTTGACTGATGGAAGAAAGCAAAACAATAAAAATAGAATAATGTGTGTGTGTGTGTTGCAGGCAGGCGGGCCATATAGAGCTAGCAGAGCGTCTGGTGGAGTGTCAGTATGAGCTGACGGACAGGCTAGCTTTCTACCTGTGTGGCCGGCGTCCAGGTGAGCCCATGTACCGTCTAAGTGCTTCTCACGTGCCCTAAACATAGCAGATGACCTCAGTAACATAGTGTAGTGTTTGTCCAGTTATTAAGAGCTCTCCTCTCCTCTCCTCTCCTCTCCTCTCCTCTCCTCTCCTCTCCTCCTCATCACATCACTGCCTCTCCTCTCCTCTCCTCCTCCATAGATCACAAGAATGGCCATTATATCATTCCTCAGATGGCAGACAGGTATGGACCACCTGAATGTTCTTCTCATGTCTGATGAACTTCCTGTTTTTCCTGCACGGTGTGGCTTGATTGCATGAATAAGTCAGTACTGGTGTCCTTGCAGCTGCCTAACTTGCCATTCTTCTGTGACTGCTTCATTTCACTCTGGCGTGGATTCATTGATACTGGTGTAGTTCAGTGTTCTGACCACAGGGTGGCACCGCAGCATACGTCCCTCCACCCATAACGGAGGTCTTTGGCATCTTTATTAAGCTGGATGTTTATTGTAAAACCTGGTAACTGCAATGAGCTGATACTGGAAATGTGCTCGGCTTACTGATGCTGAACGGAGCGATGCAGCAGTCAGGCCGTCATAAATCAAGTCAGCATCACTTGGCACAGCTTCTTTCAGATATTTAATGTTTTTTTTTTCTTTTTTAACTGCAGCTCAAAAAATTAGATTCACAAATGTTCCGCAGCCAAATCAAACGCACCTCAAAGTCTGTTAGTTCTGAGCTGCCGTCTAACTCCACTTGCATCTGTTCTGTTCTGGTGAATGGTTCTTTTGGATAACAACAATTAAAGCTGTTTTGATGTGGCTTCTCTTCCCCTTCCTTCTGTCTGTTTCTTCCTTTTTCTCACTCGTTTTCTGTTCTCTCCATTTCGCTGCGCTTGGTGGAGCCAGAGCTCGTCCTAAGTGCCCGACACAGAGGTATCTCTACTTTCCTTGTTCCTTTTTTTCCAGAACCTCTTTCTCCATTCCAGTCCCCTCTCTCTGCTACCCCGCCGTCTGTGTGTTGCCCTTTTGTGTCTCTGGTTTCACAGAGGGAAGAGTATTTGGCATTAAACTGTTATCACAACGAAGCAGAACTGTACACGTTGATCAGAAGAAAGAGAGCGCAGAGTAGGGAGGAGTTTGAGAGAATCAGAGCAGGCGTTTCCACATATTTACATACATGTGAGCATGTAATCATTGTGTGAAGCCTCTGTCATAGAGCTCTTTTATATGTTTGTAATCAAACCTGGTATACATGACATCATACAGAAAAAAAAAGACTCTGTCATAAATATATGCAGATATTTTACAACTTTAGTTTCCAAAAACAGCCACCTTCAGAGCAGTCTGTCTTAACCCAACACGTCTCAGCAAAGTGTAGCTTCCCTCTCCCTTGTTCTAGCCAAAGCCCTTCCCACCTCCTCACCTCGCTCCCGTCTCCATCTCCATGTCTTCCTCCCCATCTGTCTCTTTACTCCACTCTTAAGTTTGTGATCCTGTCTCATTGTCTTCTTCTGTGTTTTTTTTAGCCTGGACCTATCAGAACTGGCCAAGGCTGCCAAGAAGAAGCTCCAAGCGGTGAGTTGCGCCCTGCGATATCGTATGTTTATACTGCAGTTCCACGGCAGTCAGGGCCACAGACTGTATCTGATTATAGACCGGGGATTGAGACGAGTTTCTTGGGTTCTTGGAACTAATGTAAAAAGATAAGGTCTTGGTTGAAAAAATGGGCAAAGTTGGTTGGTACAACAGCCAGATTTTCTGTTCCTCGTCGAAATCCTGTTTGTTCTCTCCTGGGCCATCTGTCAAGCCCCACACAAAGCTTGTAATTCAGAATCTGATGATCGCTTATCAACATTTGAAGGGCTTAAGTCATAAATCATGACAGCTTCTGTGAAAGAATGTGATGGTTGAGTGAAACTGAGGGAGCACGCCAAGTATAATCTTAAAAAATCCTGCCCAGATGCCTCCATATCATACTACTTTTGTTCTGCCTTTCCTGAGTGATGTGTTCTGATAGCACATATGTACGCAGACATGTAAGAACAGACATTAACGTATCTGTGGTTGGCAGCTCAACAATCGGCTGTTTGAGGAGCTGGCGATGGACGTGTATGACGAGGTGGATCGCAGAGAAAACGATGCAGGTGAGCGTCATCTCCTCTGTCCTCGTTTTTTCATGTCCTCTGTAAGGTCCAGTTGTCTGTGTGTGTTTGACTTCCCCTATACGGAATAAAGTTAATGTTGACAGAACCAGAGAACCTCACAGCAGAGAGAAAGAGATGTGCAGAGGAAGAAGTCAGCACTTCAGTAGACAATAGGGAGTGAATGTGAAGGACAGAGTGAGGAGAAAAGGAAAATGCCTGCTGAAGAGTGTGGCTAGAGGAGGAGGAGAGTCGGAGCGAGGAAGTGCCTCACAAATTCTTCAGTCTCTCTCCTCCTCCTCCTCGACTCTTTCTCTTTTTTCCTTTTCTTCTCTCTCTTTCCTTCAGTAACAGCCACAGTGAAAGTGTGCTTTCTGACAGGAAGGTAAGTGGCAGGCAACACACATGCAGACACACAGCAGCCTGATGTGTGTGTGTGTGTGTGTGTAGGTGTGTGTAGTTGTGTGTAGGTGTGTGCGTGTGTGGACGGACGTTGGATGTGGGTGGCTGCGCATGCTCTAGTCAAAGTGATCTTGTTGCTTAAACACTTTCAGACTCATTTTTCTTTGTGTTTTGTGTCTAGTGTGGCTCACAACCCAGAACCACAGCACTCTGGTCACAGAGCGCAGTGCGGTCCCTTTCCTCCCCGTCAACCCTGAATACTCTGCCACGCGCAATCAGGTAAACACACTCACACAGATGCACATTTGCACTGACTAGTACATGCACGCACACACTGACCTGTAGACGGCAACAGAAGTGAGGAAGAAGAAGACAGAAGAACCTTGAAGCAGAAAGACAGAGTGAAGCCTGGTTCCATCTCAGACAATTTGACAGTGAATGTTTGAAAGGAAGCCGAGGCTGAGTGTGAAACTAGGATGTTCTGAGCTGTGGGAACCAGTAATCCTCGTGCCCCCTCCGCTCTCCCTCACTCGGTGTGACAGAGAAACCCCATATGTCCACTCACATAGCTTCTCATTGGTGTAAACACTGACTGTAGCACGTAAAGACAGAAACTCCCACATCGCCACGTTTGCTCTGCCTCACTTAGGCAGTTTACTGTGGTCAGGAACTGCTATTTATTTACGGTGGAAAACAGAAGCAAAACACAACACACAATTAGAACTGAACTTTTTACCTTACTGCGCCTCCCACAGCGAACGCATCGGCTTGTGCAATGATTCCACTCTGGCACTTTGGTAGAAACAGAAACTGACCTTTTTGCTTTCTCCTGCGGATGCCAGCATGCTTGCCTAATTGGACGGTTTATGTTTCTTTGCACATGTTTGTGTGTGTGTGTGTGTGTGTGAGCACAGCTGTGATGGTGTGCGTGAGTGTGTGTGTGTGTGTTACGAGGATGACTGTGTTTTTCCACAGCACATGGTAGTTGACCACAGTCGTCACACAGGCACTGAACCGCTGACTGTGGGCTGCATTGTATTTGTACTCCACATGGCTCATGACAGAACTTACAGACTTTTTACTGAATGTCAGCAGTCATGCGTGTGTTTAAATAATAATGAGTGCTAACTCCTGGCTCGCTCTCCTCTCAGGGCCGGCAGAAGTTGGCCCGTTTCAATGCTCGGGAGTTTGCCACGCTTATCATCGACATCCTCAGCGACGCCAAAAGGAGACAGCAGGGAAAAGGTCTCAGCAGCCCCACTGGTGAGACCGAGAGGAAGGAGTAGACGGATTAGGATTAAGACTTTTATTTTTTCAAAAACACAACAAAACAAAGACTAGGGCTATTTAACCTAAACTGATTACAAATGTGGCTTTGTACATGTCAGTTTATTGACGTAAACCAATAGGTTTCTGTATCACAAGAAGCTTTAAAGATTGAATAAGACATTTTAGGAGCAGCTGTGATTATAGCTGGTTCATTGGAACCAATCTAATAATTTAGTGTAAAATCAGGATGAGATCAGCTGTCACAGCTACAGAGGTACGGCCAAAGAGACCAGTCAGAATCAAAATAATCACAATTAGTTTGATCGATGCTTGGATCACAATTACTTCTGTGATTATTTTCCTGATTTCATGGGCAACATATTCTTGATGTTACTTTCACTACAGATAAACAGATCACTGCTTTCACCCACATGTTGCTGCATCGCTGCTAATCTAAAAATCCTTGTATCCAAAATAGACTTAAAATGCTGTTCTTCACTTTAATTAAGCAAAATATAAATACAGTTGTACCCAGAATACCTCCCTCGCCAAACATCTGCCTATCAGTAGATGTTCCTCGAGTTCAAACCAGTGATTCTGTTTACATATCAGTGAGTGTTCTGTGGGCGGAGCACACGTTTTGAATTGTCAAAACTGCAGTCCATCATGTAGGAGGTATAAATTGTGATTAATACTTGATAAACAGGGCAGCCCAACCAGATGTTGTATTTTTACGAGTAGAGAAGTTTGTCAGATACTTTCCTTGTCAGGTAATTGTTTTTCTGATAAACCAGCATGTAACTCTGTAGGAAATAAAAACGAAATCTGAACTCAGTTATTAGTTACTAGTGAGAAGGACTGATATAAAGAGAAGTGTATGAGCTAATTTTTCCTTTCTCCAGACCCACTGGACCTGGGGATCGATGACGACCAGCATGACTACGACAGCGTAGCTTCAGATGAAGACACAGACAGCGAGCTGACGGCCCAGAACAACAACAACACACAACGCAGCAACCGAGCAAAGGTAAAGCAACACACACTGTCTGTTTAGGACGGTCTACCACAGGCACACAGGCCACAAAGTTTGCTTTACTGCAGTCAAAATTACTTTTCTGTGACAAAATTTGCTGATACACAGCTTGCTCATGCTTGCTTAGTAGTTTTTACATCAACAGTTGAGTCATTTTCTTCTCACTGGATTTCTAAATGCATCAGAAAGCAGCTGTATTAGCCAGCAGAGCTTCTCCACTGTGTGCTCTTGAGTGACTGCTTCTCCCAGCATGCTTTGCAGGGAACTGGCCGGTCAGAGCTGCCACATAGTTCCTGAGTGACATCATCAGCTATTCTGGGTCCTTGTCAGAGAGGCATTGTTCATACAGAGAGAGAGGGAGGAGAGAGTAACACAGAAGAGAGGAACAAATGGGGAGTGGTAGAAATGACAGAGAAAACAACTGCTCAACCAGGAACCATCATATTTTCCTGCAGACGTGTTTACATCACTGAGCAGAACTCTGACAAACAAACAGCAGGTTCCCCTCCCGCCTCCATATGAGGATTAAAGAAGTGTCTGGAGAGGGAAACTAAACCATTCATGTACGATGTGGACAGAGATCTTTGAAGAGCCGTGTATAAAAGATGTTTTATTGGCTCGGTTTTAGGGAGTGGTAGAGGGATGAATTTGAACAGGCCTCAGAGTGACAGGAAGTGGGGGAGGACAGTGTGTTGAAGGCAAGAACTGAGGCTCTACTGTCCATATGTGGGAGATCCAGCCCTCTTCCTCTCACAGCCGTCAGCTCTGTGTTACACAGCCGACAAAGCATCAATTCATAGCTCATTTCCCCACATTACCTCTGCAGGAAAACACACAAATTACACACTGCATGTACCATAGAATGATATATGATATTGTCCTCAGAATCCCTAAACCGGCGGCGGCTTTAAAGGCATGTTTTCTTTACAAAATGACACCATTTACCAAAGCCAGAAACAGAAAATCTTTGAATTCACAACAGTCCTGGAACGCATCACGTGTGACAAACAGGAAACGCAAAGAGGTCGAAGCTGAAAATAATGGTTTCATCAAAATGACTTTTATCTACGTGTCTGTTACGGAAGAGGGAAGTAGGTGACGGTCCAATCAGCCACAGCAGGAGGAGGGAAGAGGAACGAGCAGGTCAGGAGCTCCAGGCCAATCATCCCTGATTGGATACAGGCAGGGTCTGGAACAGGCTCCTCCACCAGTCATAGTAAAAGTCCGAACAAGCCATCCCCCCAAACAGAGGCCACAGAAGATCCACCACGAAACGAAGCACCCAGACACCAGGGGCTGTACCGTGTTATTCAGAATCATGGACCATTGGACCCAGATGCTGTAGGAAGCAGCTGCTCAGTGCAAATCAGAGGAAATGAATGTCTCTGTGTTGTGGCAAAAAGTTTTAGGTGAAGACAGAGCAGCGCAGACTGAGAGGTCAATAAAACGTACTTGATCAATAACACGATTACAAGTTGTCAGCAAGTTGCTGAGAGACAGAAATGTTGTCCTAGAGTGTGATAGAGACTTTGTAGAGGTTGTAGAGAGGCCTAGTCAATTAGTAAAGGTGGAGCCCCATTCAGTTCTGAGTGTTTATGTCCCTGTAGCCATGTCATAGTGCACAGAAGACATTTTTGAGTTCTATCTACTTCTAATGGTGGCTGTGCTGCTTCTGTGGAGGAACACAACTTATTACTGCAGAGGAACCCACAGTGAGGAAACGTGAGACGGCAGCAGAAAAGGCCCAGAGAGTACCAGGAGACCAGAGGGTTAAATTAGAATGCATAAGTCAGATAATCTACAACTATCACACTGACAGTGTCCTCACTTTTTTTTCTGTCCACCTGTCTGCTTTCTGTCCGTCCTTCTACCTGCCTGTCCACCTGTCTGTGTTTCTGTCCGTCCTTCTACCTGTCTGCATGTCATGTCTATCCAGAGCATGGACTCTTCAGACCTGTCCGACGGCCCCATCACCCTGCAGGAGTACCTGGAGGTGAAGAAGGCTCTGGCCTCCTCAGAAGCCAAGGTGCAGCAGCTGATGAAGGTCAACAACAACCTCAGCGAGGAGCTGCGGCGGCTGCAGAAGGAGGTATGGAGTCTGGAGGGAGCAGAACGAGAGGATGGCAGAGACCACTCAGGGAAATCAGGGCAGCTGAGACAATAGAGGATCTTATCGGCAGCCGAGGAACGCTGCAGAGAAAGCACAAAGTGGGGCTGAAGACATTTATGCTTTTCTTTGCTGGTTGTGTTGCCTTTACCAGATATGAGCAGTGAGGGGGGAGCAGCAGAGTGACAGGCAGTGAAGGTGCAGTCGGCTGGGAGTGGAGCTACCTGATGGCTCCCTAACCACCCGGCTGTCAGCTGACATTTCATTTAATATCAGCAGGAAGCAACAGGGGAGCTGGAGAGACGTGGCATGACATGATGCAGTGAAAGTTGAGTTGTTCATTAGAAAGATGAAGGAAGAACCAACAACAGAGAAGACGGGATATAGAATCAGATAGGAGACTAGATAGCTGTGATGTATAAAAAACAGAAATGACTAAGACGGAGAAGGACGATGGATTCAGACAGAAGCAGGGCAACACCATGGAGAGACACCTGAATGTATTATTATCTCTGCAGGTAGATGTTTTCTGACAGGGTGTCACTCTCCTCCACTACTGTTTCTGGAAGATGTGTTTGGTGACATTTGACAGAGTTACCCAGAAGCTCAGGCAGCTGCCATTCTCCTGTGAGGCCCTGGTGCCACGTATTCTCATTTTATTTGTCGTTTTTAGTTTAGTGTCGGTGGCCCTCATCTGTTGTTCATCTTTTGGTTTCCTGTGAGTTGCTGTTAGCTCACCGTGTTAGCAATGTCGCCTCATGTGACCCACGATCCATTCATGTGTTGTTTTTGTCACATCACAGAGGATTTAGTGACGGCGTGACAGACATGCATCTTCCACAAGCAAACACCTGGGAACACAAACTGCAAATGACAAATGAAGGTGTCAGATTAGGTGGTAGTGAACAGTACCTGAGTGCTAATGAGCCTTCATGTCCCCCGGTGAGCCCTGAATGCGACCTCTGTGTCTAACACGTCACCCGATGCTCAGCCTGGTCCCTGCTGATCCAGTGTTTACCACCACCCCCCCCCCAGCAGTGACTCGTAGGACTTACAGTGTGCAGCCTTTTAAAGAACCTGTGATTATGGATGCTTGTTTTTGACTCTTCAGTTGACCCCCCCTCCCTTCCCTTCAACCTCCCCATGTTCCTCCCTCCATCCCTCCCTCCATCCTCTCATCCCCCCTGCTCCTCCTCTCCTGTAGATCACCCGGATGCAGACAGAGAACAGTGCGCTCCGGGGGGGCCAGCAGGCTGGGGGGGCAGCCGGCCATGGGGTCGGGGGGCCGGGGGGAGGTGGGGGAGGAGGCCACTGGCCGGGGGGAGGGATGCGAGGAGGAATAGGTGGGGGGGGACTGGGTGGGTTTGGACAAGGAGCGGATCCCCCGGGGTTGACGGTGCCCTCCTCGGTCGTCCCCCACTCACATCCCCACCGGAGGGAGCGGCAGGCCTTCTCCCTGTACATACCGGGGGCGGCCCCTAACCCCACGGCCCACGGGCCCCCAGCCCTGGACTCCCTGGCAGCCCGCCTGCAGCCCCTCAACACACCCAGCGTAAGTTAGAACCCCCCATCCGGCCCTTTCCACTCTCCACCTTCCTTCCGGTGGCCCTGATTGGCTATCTTCGGCCTAATTAGCGGGTGGCGGTCCGGTCCTGATCTCTATTCTCCCTTCTCTCTCCCTGCATCTCAGTTCCCGATCCTTCTCTGTCAAAGGTCCAGTTGTGCACAAACCCTGATATCAGAGTGTTTTGATGTCTCCAAAATGATTTGACCCGACCAGGGGGTGAAGTGCACAAGTGTGACCTCGAGGAGAAAGATGAGAAAAGACTGTTTCGTCTGTTCTGTTGCCTGGCAACGCATCTGATGCTTCGTGCTCTAGCCTGCTCTGCACCCTTTGACCTTCTCAGTCCTCTTTGACCTCCCAGTTAGCTCTCCTGTTGCTGGACAGCTGCTTATCCTGGAGAGGCTGGGATCACACACACACACACACACACACACACACACACGCACACACACTCCTGAGCATGTGCACGCACGCACACACACACACACACACACACACACACACACACACACACACACACAGAAGTATGTTTCCAGTTTGACAGCCACATTTATCCATCCTGAATGTTTTGTGTTTCTGGAGGGTTGTGGTGCTGCAGCCAGCCAGGCACCAGTTCAGCAGCAGCATCCACACACCTCTCACCAGCACACCCAGCCTCGCCCAGTCTCATGGAAACCACCATGGACAATAAGATGGCGTCCACTCCACCACCCCGTTACACAAAGATTTACCTGTGTGTCTGTTTTCTTCCTGTCTGTCTCCTCACCTGTCTGTCCTTTGCTCACTGCAGTGCAGCCGTGCATCCTCTGGATGTAAGCATCATGTCTGCCATTGCATTGTTTTCCATTTCATCCTAAATGTAGGCGTCTCTTTCACTAAATCACTTCTGCTTATGACACATTCTAGTACTGGAGATCAACACTAGTGTTCAGTGTGTGGCTAGTGATTTATTGTTAGCTGCTGTGTGATCACCAGACAGTTCAGTTGACAGTGTCTTTAGAACTTTATTGTTAGAAACCAGAGCTCATGTAGTGGTGATGGGGCGACGGGTGAGCTGCTGAGCTGACCTGGCACTGCTCTCACTGGCTCGTTCATCTTCCTTTTCTGCTGTTTATAAAACATTTCCTCTCTCTGCCCATTCCATCGATCATCCATCTCTTCCTGCTGGTCTGTCCTTCTCCCCCTGTTTTTGCTCTCATCTCTACTCTTCCATCTCTCCTCTCCATCTTGTGGACCTCTGTCTTTCCAGGTGAGGAAGGGTGGTTCAGGGGGTCCATCGCCGTACGGAGGCCAGCACCTCTCTGGATCTACGGAGATGGGCAGATACATGGTGAGCTGCTGCTGGTTTGGTTGTTTGCTTCTTTTTTGACCTTTCAGAAATTGCGATTATGCTCTTATATTGTTTTGTCAAATCTGTCTTCTGCAAACACTGCAAGGGCCTGGAAAAATGACCCAAATCCTGCATTTTAGTTCCAGAAAATCTCTTAGATCTAGTCCAGAGCACAAATGTTCAGAAACCAAACACAAGGAGTACTCTTTTTTTTTTTTACTCATTTGGCTGCAGATTTGGATCATTATGGTTTGTTTGTTTTTCTTCAAACCGACCTGAGAAAATCCAATTCACAGACAAGCTGCTGATTTACAGTGACCTCCGGCAGAAATCATTACATTTAAATGGACCCTAATGTGTGATCTTTGTAAAAGGAGCTATCCATTAGGCTCTGCAGGAGCAGGTGGTGTGTTCATTGTACTGAGCTGGTGTCTCTGTCCTCAGGTCGCTAAACCAGAGAAGCACGGCAGCGGCACCGACAGCGACTACGACAACACACAAACGTACGACCTGTCGCTAAGGTCAGACTCTGTCCACGTTGTTCTCAGGTGTTTTATTAGGCAGCAGATCTATGGTTCTTTAATAGGTTTGTTTATTGGTTTCTGACTGATCCTCACTAACAGCTATTAATAAATGTTAAGATGCTGAACATTCAGTGTTTATAATGTGACATCTTTGACACGAGGCTTTAAAGTATATGAATGTGTTGGTCAGTATGGGCCGCAGCAGTGAGGAGGAGGGCCGTGGTGAGTCTGAGGAGGGTGGAGGGGACGCCGGGGAGCCAGACCCCACCCTGCCCTGCACCGAGGATGTCATCCTGAAGACCGAGCAGGTGACCAAGAACATCCAGGAGCTGCTCCGGGCCGCCCAGGAGTTCAAACACGACAGGTAGCCCCAACACTGGAACATTTTATATTCCTTCTAATTTATGCTCTTGTTAACGAGCAACCTGAGCCATATTATCCCTCCCATTTCTGTGAGCGTTAGCGGTCCTCTAGTGAAATAGACTGTGACTGGCTAACGTCAGTGCTGCATCGTCCCAAAGCCTGTACCCACGCTATGGCGCTACAAGTAGAGTGTATTTATGGCGTACTGAGACACTGATCGACTGTGCATGTACGGAACACATCCTCCAAATGAACCAGAACGTCGTATAATTAGAGTAACCATCCGTGTCCAGCTGTTGGTGCACATGTCCTAATTGGATCGACCCACATGAGCATCTGTAGCAAGAACCGTCTGAAATTCTGTCACATTTAAAAATGATTAACAGCTGCACTGCACAAACTCAGGTTCTTGGAAATGTTCTGTCCTGATCAGACTGAGAGGCTTCATTCTCCATCCTTCAGTCCATGTCCACTGCTGATCTGGAGTCAGGCTGAGCATGTTGGTCCAGACCTCCCTCTTTCCAACAAGCCTTCCTACTTCTCCTCAGGCGTCCCAAAGCATTCCCAGGCCAGATTTGAAATAAAATGTCTCCAGGAAGCTCATCTTGGCTTATATTTGCATGAATCACCCGTCAGCAAGTCAGTCCCCAAGTCCCTTCACTCGGTGCTCTCATTGGTCACTGTTGGTGGGCTTTTAGTTATGTACTGATGCTTGTAGAGATAAGGGTTAAATATCCATAACTTCAGACTAGCTGAGTATCATTGAGCAGTAGACCGTGTTGTTGATGACCAAGTTAAACTATTTCTCTCCGTAGCTTTGTTCCATGTTCTGAGAAGATCCACTCTGCGGTCACTGAGATGGCCTCACTCTTCCCCAAAGTAAGTTCTCCATCCTAGTGTTTGCTTTCTCTCTGGATCTGTTTACACCCTCCATCCATCCTCCACACGTGCTGAGCTTTATCTGCCCTCCTGTCTCTACAGCGCCCAGCGTTGGATGCGGTCCACTGCTCCCTCCGCCTGCTGGCGTCCAGTGCCTCGCGGCTGCAGGTGGAGTGCCGTAAGGCGGCGCCCTCGGAGCCCGGCGCCCCCGCGGTGGACTACCAGCTCCTTACCCAGCAGGTCATCCAGTGCGCCTACGACATCGCCAAGGCTGCCAAGCAACTGGTCACCATCACCACTCGCGAGAAGAAACAGTGACCCAGCAAACGCCTGGATGGAGAGGGACGAGGGGGAGAGAAAGGATGGATGCACGGGGGCTTCTGGGAGGGACCGATGATCACACTACAGACGGGAGGACAAGGAGGGGGAGTGACTGGGAGTAGAAGAAGAAACGAAAAGGTTGGACGATGCATGGAGAGCAAGCAAAGAGAGCTGATTGTTTCATATGAACACTACAATGAAGAGAAGAAGTGAAAGTAGGGAAGGATCCAACACGGGAGCTACAGCCTGCAACAACACGAGTAGACTGTTGGAATCATGTGTATAATGAACTGCTGAAACTGTGACGAGCAAACACAACGGTGGCGATGTACAGTGGACCGGGTCCTGAAACGTTACCGCTTTATTTATTCTCACTTGTCACTCGTCGTCCCTCCCTCTCCCCGCTCACACCGACCGGGGAGGGAGACGGTGTGCTGCAAGGGAGGGAGGGAGGTAGACTGGCCGAGACGTCGCCGTCCTGGGAGGCTGCTCCTCTCCCGTCCTCTGTCCTTTGACCCTCTGTCTCTCCCAGCTGAGGTCCGTCTGTCCTCTGGCCGTCCCAGAGGGATGAGCCGGCGCTGCAGGACGGACCTCCTGGAAGCATCTGTCTCCACCCACACCTCAGCCAGGCTCCAGACGCCTCCACAGGGGCTCCAGCTTGTCTCCCTGTCGTCGGTGGTACACAGCATGATCTGGCATGTTTGGTTTTCTTTCCTCTCTCTTCTGTTTCTTTTTTTTTTTTTTGTTCGTTTGAATATGCGGATCGGATCGGTTTGCACCTCTGAGGACAAAAATACTTTTTTACTGACTTACAAAAACACTTACACTGGAATAATTGTGATTTAATGTTATTGTTTTATCATGCCTATTGTTTTTTTTATTGATAATTTTACTGACTGTCCTTTTGATTTAACTGTTTATGTTTCTTTCATTGTCTCAAATATGATTCTTATTTAGTTGGATAGGGAGACAGTTGGGAGTATGTGTCAACCTCTTACTGGGATTTAAGCAAACATGCACACGTAAAAATAGTCTGTGAAATGGTCCTCGACATTTCTCAAGATCTCCCTTTGTGGGTGACAGTTGAGGTTTTGTTTTTTTTTTTCATGTTGTGATGTGTCTCGTGGCCAAGGGGTGAACAGTTGCCAAAGGGGGAGCGTGTTCAGGACATTTGTTGTTGGTTTTGATTTTGTGTCAGAGCGGAAGCCCCTTGGTGCATCGTGACAGTACCTGGATCAAAACGCTCTTTCATGTATCCTCAGCTGTCATTTTACGCCTGATTTATCTACAGTTTGCCTCATTTAACAGAGCCAGTGGAATCATCTCAGAATCAGTCTCATCATCGTCATCGCAGTGCCAAGCAGGATAAAAGCATTCGGTCCAGTCTGCGTATGGGGATTAACCCGGTCTTGCTCGAAGGCTGTTTACGCTTCTATTACACAGCAGCTATTATTTACATGCATGTTATAGCGAATGCTGAGTCCCCTTAGGTGGATTGCGACACACTGGTATGCTGCAGCTCAGCTTTAGGTGGACCTGTGGAGAGCATTCTGCAACCTGGACGTGCACATGGCCAAACGCTCCCATCGCGTTTCTCTCCTGTGGGAAGATGTTTGCGGCACATTCAGACATCTCACGTGTGCTTGGCTTTAGTTTGCCATGTATTATTTTCTCTTTCTAAAACTGTCTGGCAAGCACAATCGAGCCCAACTTCTGTCCAACTCCTCGGTGGCGGCGGCGGCTGATCTGGGAGCTGTCACTTCAAGCTCTCTGTCTCTGAACTCTGCCAACAGGAGACAGCTTTGGGAACAATTTTCTGTTAGAATTGTAGCGCAGTCAGCCTCCTGAACATTTACAGCTCACTGCACGGTGCCGAACAAACATGGTTCTGTCTGTAAGTACAGATTAAGATTGAATCTAAGAAGTCCTGTTCTAGCTTAGGTCCACCACTACTTCTGTTATTCTGCAACTGGTTTCTCAAAGTGTTTGCAGCTTCATTAGTTCCTGCATCGGTCTTGTCTGTAATCAGAAGGCTTCTGCACATTAATTACTCACTGAAACGTTGAAGGATGAGGTCAAACAGCAGTTGCATCTCATTTTTACCTTTTACAGCACAAAGCTGTAATGAGCTCCAGACACTGAGCTGATCCCAGACCTCCCTCAGCTCTTCTGTCCACTGTATTCCTGCTTTGCTTTGTTTCCTGGGAGCTCTGACCATCTGTCAGTCTTTCACAGAGCTGCACACGTGTCTCTTGTGCGTTGAATCATGTCCAGAAGACTCTTGAAATGTATCATTGTTTGATATTGAATGCCTTTGCACATCATCTTCATCTCTTGTTTGAGTTCCAGCGACGCACCGACTGCTGAGACAACAGACAGACTTTCACACACTCACGGGCCAGTCCCTTCAATCATGATGCCCAAGTTTTAGAGTAGAGCCATATATATGAACATATATTTTCATGCTATATTTTATACTAAGCTATATGTTAGGGTTTTGTTTGTCTCTTCTTTGTTTTGCCTAAATGGGCTTCAGGCTGTGAGATCTGTTCAAAGTCTTCGTTCAGCTCTAAAGTCTTGCCACCTGATGTACTTGTAGGTATTTTAGGTGTTGTGAGTCTGGTCATGCTGTGGTGTTAGCCTCCTACATAGACATATTGTACATATTCATGATCCTACTAGAATCCACAGAGAGGCAGGAGTGGCTCCAACAGGTTGATGCAGGCGGTTACTCAACAGCTCGGTCTTAGTTGCACTATTTTCAAACACCAGCTGGGTAAAGTAGGATCTACGTTATGTACTGCACTCTCCAAAGGTCTTAGTTCAAGTACATTAGGTGCAGGATGCAGGATCTGACTCGGGATGGGACACAGGACGGGTCTGAAGCACACTTGGGCTCAGCACTACAGTCATCTCAAAGGCAGGAGGAGGCTCTACAATGCACATAGCCTAATCCTCCCCCGCCAGCGGACGCTACATCGGGTGCCTCTAGTGTGAATGTTTAATGCTTCCCGTCAGCTCACATCACATGTTCTACGCCGTCGTCATGTCCAGAACTTAGCACATACTTTCCAGAATCCCACACACACACCCTGAACTTATCAGTTGGACCAAGTCATGCACAAGTACAGACATTCAGCCTTGCAACCAGAACTAAACCAACACAAACACTCTGTTGATCCTCAGCGGCGGCGCGCACGGTCGCCGTCCCTGTGTGTCTTCAGCGCTACACTTTGGGAGACGGGTGACGGGAGAGTTATCTTTTAACAGAAGACGTTAAAACTGTATAAAGTAGAGAAAACAACGACTTAAAAGGTCAATCGTAATGGAAACTCATAAGCTGTACATTTGTAATAAAATAATAAAACAGTTTAATTGTCCTGCGTCTGTCTGCATTTGTCAGTGTGCTGATCCAGTCTAACAGCTCGACCCGTCACTGTGAACACCAAAGGCCGGACTAGATGGTACCACTGGACATAGCTCCTCAACAAGACAGAACAACCAGTAATTCAAACCGTGGTTTCTTCCTGGATTCAGTTTAATCAAGTTGGTAAAATATTGTCAGACAAAGACAATAACTACTTAAACTAATCACTAACTGAAACCTTCTGTTTCTGTTTACTGACTGATGCCGTTAACCTTTTTAGCATCGATCTTGTTTTTGCTTGAATTAGATGTTTGCAGATTGTTCTTTTAAGGGCAGGGATCTCCCACTCCGGTCTTCGTGAGCTACTGTCCTGCAGGTTTTAGATGTTTCCATCCTGCAACACACCTGACTTAGATTAATGGATCATTCACAGACAAGCTGTTGGAGATCCATTAATGTGAGTCAGGTGTGCTGCAGTACGGAAAAAAACAGGGGTGTCCAATCCTGGTCCTCCAGAGCCCCTATCCAGCATGTTTTAGATGTTTCCCTCTTCCAACACACCTGATTCAAATGATGAGCTCATCATCAAGCTCTGCAGAAGCTTGATAACGATCCTGATCATGTGAATCAGGTGTGTTGGAAGAGGGAAACATCTTAAACATGCTGGATAGGGGCCCTCGAGGACTAGGATTGGGCACCCCTGGTCTAAAACCTGCAGGACAGTAGCTCACGAGAACCAGCGCTGGAGATCCCTGTTTTAAGGTTTTCTATTTGTGCATGACGACACTGAAATGATTTTTACACGTTTCATTGTTTTTCTAAAAAGTCATTTATTTAAAATTGATGAGGGAATATTTTCAAACCTTCTAAGTTGAGTCATTCTCTTGAGTCTGCTGGTAGAGATGCATCCGTTTCTCCTCATTTACGTTATCTTCTATCTGAACAGTGTGACCTCTTCGGTTCTTTTCAAATCCAACGAACCGCATCACGCTTCAAACCATCAGCACCGTGCTTCTGATGCGCTCATTTCTGAGATGAATAAATCCTCTCATCGTGGTTTGTCGAGTGATAAAACATGGAATTGCAGAAATGTTGAGGCTCAGCGTGAGGTAATTTAGGGAACGTATCTGCAACGCTCTGAGCTTTTCACTGCTCCCTCCAGCATGGCAGCTTGGACCGGTATGAGAACACGGTTTCAGCAGTCAAACAGCACCAATCACCACAAAAAGAGCTGCTCAGTGAGCCGCAGGTCTCTAAAACAACACATCTGTCTATCAGAATGTTAATGTGAGAAGGTTATGGTCTGATTTTAAGTGTTTTACATTCCCTCAGTGAGTCCCAGACATGATTACTGCTATCAGCTACAATCATCCAGGACCACGGCGGTGATCTGAGTCATGATGAAGTTTCTAGTTGCCTTAAATTTAATCAACTGTAAAGACGTTTTGAATGAACTCTTAGCAAAAGTCTGCTCTTGAATGTCATCTGTAGAATGCAGCATGTTGGTGTCTCCAGAACCACACAATGCGTTGCTTAGAACAGCAACATGTTCACATCTGAACCTTTACACATAAAAGCAGCTCATTACTATAAAACCACCCATAAAACTAAATGTAAAGCGTTCGTCTCGGCTGCTCTGATCTCAGTCTGGAAGGTCACAAAACACTTCCTGTTGAACAGCGTCCAGCTCTAAATGAAATGCATCCGAAGAAAGAAGTCCTCCGCAAGTTGTGTAAAAGCATGTAGCAGCTGACCGAGCCTTCAGCTGCGACACCATGTGGTACCAAACCCTGACAGAAGAACACCTGTAGGGTTGTAAAAGAGGTTTCTGGGTCCAGCTCTGGTCCTGTCCCGCTCCGGTCCGGTCGTGGCCTCCTACACCTGCACACGACTTGAGCTCATCCTTGTTCTCCTCTGGGATGTTCGTCTTGGTTCTAAGGATGTTCATCGGAGCTGGAGGAGCTCGGCAGCAGGACACACTCCTGCCTTCTGCCCCTTTTCCGCCTTCTCTTTGCAATTCGCAACCTCCTGCGGATCACATCTAGAAGAGAAGCACACAGAACACGATGTGAGAACATGTGAGCTCAGAGGGTGTGTTGGTGAACAAGGTTCCCAGTGAGGAAACCTCCATGGAAGAGGAACCCTCACCTGCCACGCTGTCGTAGTCCTGCCGGGGGTCGTGCCAGTACAGACTGGGCGTGGTTCTCCAGTGGCGGTACAGGCGAGTGTGAAGCACCGACAGAGTGAGCAGAACCAGCAGGAAGCCCAGCGCTGCTGCTGCCCACACCGCCTCGTCGGTCCGGGGCGTCCTCGGCAGCCCGTTGTTGACCACAGCAGCCGGGGCCTCCGGTCCAGACGCCGGGTCGCAGTCGCACCGTTCGCCCGCTCTGCAGCCGCCACAGTCGGAGCTCCTGCGCTGGCCGTCGCCGGCCGGCTGAGACTCTGACGGGGATCTAGCTGCAGAATCAGAGCCAGCGTGAGAGTGTGTGGCGCTGTGCTCCACCTCTCTCTCTTTTACCTCCACCACTTCATCGTTGTCTGTCCTGCCAGCTGCTGGGTTGTCATCAGTCGTTCTCTCCTTGGAGTCCTTCTCTTTCATGCTCTGCGCATCAAAGTCTTTATCTTTGTGTTTGATTGAGTCATTGGATCTGAGAGTCTCAGCTTCAGGCCCGGCACTACGGTTCTGTGCACTGTTCACACTGTCTGCAAGCACATCCCTCGCAGCAGAGAGGTCTGGGTTCCTGAGGTCGGATGGTTCCGGACGGGGCCGGAGCGTTGCTGTCTGCGGTGCTGGCCGCGGTGCTGGCCGCGGTGCTGGCTGGCCTCTCTGAGACCGAGTTTCAGATAGAACTGACCTCGGAGGAGCTGTGGGCCTGGGAGCAGGGCCCAGGTTCAGGTTCTGGATTGCAGACTGAGGATCTTCCTCTGCAACAGAAAGATCTGAGAGAGAGTCTGGTGCTGGTCCAGGCGTGGTGCTGGAGTTGTGGACATGCCCTGTCCTGTGGGGGATGTTTCTGTTGGTCCGGTTATGCAAAAGATGGGAGACTGTTGTTGTGTTCTGTCCATCGCTGTCATTCTGGAGCGCAGCTCTTACCTGCCGGCGTGGGCCTCCCTCTTTAAACAGCTGTGGATGTCTGAGCAGAGCAGAGAGGACCTGCTCACAGCACCGCCTCAGAGACTCCTGGGGATCACAGCAGCTCTCATTTACTCACAAGAACAGAAACGACTCCTCTCTGCTCGCTGTACATTCATACAATCACAAGCCTAACCTTCATCTTCCTGGACTGCTCCTGCAGCCGCCGCCCTGCCGACCACGTCAACAGCAGGTTGTACCTCCTGCTCGTGCTCACAGCGTCAGACTCCTCTCTGGTGGTCTGTGTGGTTTCCAGCCAATCACAGACGTCGGTGGAGGCCACGGTGGACAGCTGCAGCGTGCGGCCCCAGGACACCATCGCTATGGGCTGGACAAGGAGCAGACAGTCAACACTCCCTCTCCTCCACAGGACACACTCACCTTTAATTCAACAAGTCAGGCCCTAACAGGGACCTCAGCCTGTCTGCAGATCAACATGTGACACTGTAGTGACACAGGGAGACCTTCAGCAGTCCCTCAAAGGCTAAAGACGATTTCACAAGAAGGCAGAGTGTATCTACAATCAAATCATTACATCTGAAAACATAAAAATAAACAACAAAGACATGTTGCCATCCATATAAAACGACACTATAATAATACATCAGAATGACACTGACTGATGTTTTACTGAAAGACACTAAAACTGATGTTTCACACCAACACAGGAACCAAATGCTTAAAGACTGACAGAAAGTCTAACCACATAATGCCAGTATGTTCCCACGTATGAAGCAGCCATGACTTCACCTCAGCACACTGTAAACTACCACAGCAGCACACAGCCAGAAAACCTTCTCTGGTGTCTGTAGTCTGGCCTAACAAACGTAGAAGCAACAGAGCGTTTAGTTCACATTTATAAAAGCTGTAAAACCCTAAATGCTGCAGTAGAGCGATACCTGGTATGAAGAAAAAAAAAGGATGAAGTTACATCTTCAGTTGTCTGAAGTCTCTCTGCTGCTGAGTTAAACCACTGAAGGCGTATCTATGGATTTCAATATTTACATATAATATTTCATTCCTGCCTTAAAGGCTCAGATGTAACTTTGCACTGATGCTTCATCTACAGCGTGCAGACCTTTTAAAGACGCTCCAGCACTCGCTGCAACTCCAGCTTCCCTACCCTCTGCTCAGCCTCCACGCTGGACAGCCAGTTGAAGCCTGAAGTCAATCAGCCAACGTTACAGAATAATGAGATGGAGAGTTTTATTTAATTACCATGTGCTCACTGAGCTGTGGATGGGCGGTGAGGATGTAGTCGGGCAGGCAGGACCGGGCCAGGACCGACAGACGGCGGCGCTGGCGGAGCGCTGCACACGGATGGTAGAGCAGAACAGTAGCTCCATGCTGGACACACACCAAACAACACATCAGCATCACCGGCCTCTCTGCCCTCAGCACAGTAATAGAAATATTTCCTCTCCTGATTGGTTTCTGGTGAACCAGCTGATGAGCGACTCCAGCTGGGAGCTACAATCTGACATGATGCCGTCTGATGGCTCTGAATGAAAACTGTTTGTTGAATCCCAAACTTAAATAAAACTGTGTTCAGTGGCAGCACTAAACCAGGGATCCAGCAGGTCCAGTGTCGGCAGACTTAACTGAACTGTTCCTAATTTACCTGCACTGAAGCAACACACTGATGGTTTCATACGGTCACATGACTCAGAGCTGTAGCCTCTGGTGACAGGTTGGAGGAAATGTGGTGGATTTATTCAGGTACCTACTGATATGGAATCAATTAGCTAGTATCTCTAAATGTATTGATTTAGAGTTTAAAGAGCATACAGGCCTTGAGGGGTGTGTGCTCGGGTTCATCCAGCTGCTCTGCATCAGCCACACTGTGCATGTAAATGATCCTCTGTGCTGATGTGTGTCTACATCCGGAGGAACTGGTCTCTACACCAGGGATCTCCAACTCCGGGTCCTCGTGAGCTACTGTCCTGCAGGTTTTAGACGTTTTCGTACTGCAACACACCTGACTGAGATCCATTAATATGAGTCAGGTGTGTTGCAGTACGGAAACGTCTAAAACCTGCAGGACAGTAGCTCACCAAGACCGAAGCTGGATCTCTGCTCTACACTAATGTCCAGCACACTACAGCCTGTTGGTGTGCATTTCTGAGGATGGAGACATGATGCTTTGTTACTCACATGCAGGTTGTTGAGCCAGCGCTGGGGGGGACAGTACAGGTACTCTCCACTCTCTGCTCCGACCGGTCTGAAGGCTCCACTGCAGCAGAAACACAAACAGCTTCACGTCTCCACCAGTCCTCACATTTTATGAATTTATTACTTCATTTCAATCCAGTAAACTCCGACACCAGGAAGACAGAGTTCAGCGACTGATCTATGTGCATGTATCAGCAGCTTAAACTACAGCCTACAGCTCCACATTACCTGTTGGGAATGCTGTGGTTGTAGGCGATCGGAGCGTCCATACAGACCTGCCTGGCGGGCTGCAGGGCAGAACAACACAACAACAGTTACAGCAGGTTTAAACATCTGTACAGCCGCCATGGAGCACACAGAGCTCACCAGTGATCTGCTGCTCATTTAAGGGTTTTAGTTTATTTTTACGAACACCACATTGTGGACGCGTCAAAGAGACGGCCTCCGAGAACCAACGCTTCTTATCACTGTTGATTCACTGATGAGCTGTCCAGTCTATAAAACTTGTCCAGTCTATAAAACTTGAGACGATGATGCAAAATACTGTTTGAAAAGTGTGTTTGTCTACAGCCCAAAGGTTCTCCGACAGCTGACTGAGGAATAAAAGCAGCTCCACTTCCCTATCAAGGAGGGTCAAAGGTCGAACAGCTGTTAAATGAAGGGTTGACTCACCTCAGGATCGTAGACGGTGTCCAGGCCGGGTCCGGTCTGGAGACAGAGAAGATACTGATCAGAGGCCGACAGACTACACAGAGATCATCACCACTCTATCTATCTATCTATCTATCTATCTATCTATCTATATTTCTGTATTTCTATATTTGGTCTCAGAGCTCATCTACTGGACTCATCCAACAACTTCCGGTCCAGACTGTTCACACAGCCTGGAACCACTGTACGAATGATGGGGTGCTGAGGTGTCTGTGGTATCCATGGTTACCTGAGTGGGCTCGGACCGGGTCGCTGCTCCACACTGGACCGAACCCAAGTCCAGGTCCACGTCCAGAGACACCTGTCACACACACACACACACACACCGTTACAAACTGACAGAACTCCTGAAATGAGCAACACACCAACAGGCACACCAGGTTCTGAACACAAACCTTCCCACTGTCGCATCCGGGTCCCGGAGGCTCGGAGGCGCCGCAGCGGGCCGAACCGAGCCACAGCGCGGCCAGCAGAGCCGCCGTCAGCCGCCGGGACGTGGCTTGGCCCGGCATGGTCCCAGCGGCGGACAGAGCCGCATCTAGCGAGCCTCCTCGGTCCGCTGGCCACGGAGCCGACGAGAGAAGCAAGCCCTCATCCCCCAACCAGAACTTTGTCCGACAGCAGCACCGAGCTGTGGGTCAGCAGGGCCTCGGTGTCGGTTCGTCTTCCCTCCGCTGCCGTTAGCCAGCTGCTCTACATTATGGAGTCAGACCGAGGACAGACTGAACCAGAACCACAGAGGAACGGAAAGAACTTTACTTCCCAGATACTCCCACCGAGTCCATACGTCAAGTCACACAGCAGCAACGAGACAACGGCTTCCTGGGAACTTTCAAAATAAAACAGTCTTCATAACGTAATAGTTTCTCTTTTCTACATATGACTCAGTTCAGAGTTGCATATTAATATACCGACCAGTACCTGCTGTGTTATTGTTTTATTTTATATTTTAGTAACCTATTCTGACTGTATGTCATTCTCCTATTTCAGGAATAAAAAATAAACTGCCGGAAGTGCCTGGTGATTCTGGCTAACTTTACTCAGCTGCTTGACTACGGAAGCTGTAAAGGAACAAAAGGCAAAGGTTTATTTCTCTCACGATCCCAGCCTGTGGCTTTGACTATGAACATCCTCTGGGGGGCGACACAGCGCTGATATCTGATTTAAACCAGTGCTCCTTCTGTACTTTTCTAGTTTAAACATAATTTCTACATTCTGAAGGGAAAGTTTCCTATTTTTGCGATCCATAAATCACTGTTTCTGTGCAACCTTCAGTAAAGTGCTCACAGATTATTATTTGTTCGGTAGGAGTCATTGACTTACAGCTTGAGTTAAAGTATAAATCTCTGCAGCTGGTGGTCTGTCGACTGTTCCCTGAAATCCTTTGCAGACTTTTCACTCGTGCATTCTTTGCAGACAGGCTGTAATCATGCCACCCTACGCAGTAAAACAAGTCTTACCTGTTGGCCAGGTGAAGCAGGCAATGCATCTGTGTACACAAAGCTGCTTTCAAAATAAAATCGGCTGCATTTACAAGAACTAGTGAAATAAAAGCGACCAATTGTTTATTTTGTCAGAATTAAAATAAATATTACTAAAAACACCAGAGCTGCTACATTAATGGTGCATTTTTTTTACTTGAGTAATGAGTATTTTCTCTTTAAGTGAGCTTAATTTTGAAATTTATTTAGGGAAGTGGCTCTGATTTCTGGCTCTTGACAGCCTTCCTGAGTCCCACCCTGAAGGTCCACAGACTCACCTGTGTGCAGAGCTCCACAGGTGAGCCTGTCAGAGGAGAGCTGCCCTGGCACAGGAGACATCTGGGCCGAATGGAGTCCACTAAAGGTTTGTGTCCAGGACTGGCATTTGTTTCTGCTGTGTACTCTTCAGTTTTCAGTTTAATCGGTGTGGGCTTGATTTAATTGAATTTGAATTTATTTATTTTCATTGTCAGCAAAAAGTAAAAACTTTAGTCAGGAAGCAGCAGATGTGATTGTTAATGTTTCATCGAAGCGTTTCTGTGGCAAACAGAACGAAGAAGACAAGGATGTTCCTATAATCTGCTGATGGGGTGTGGCACTTTACAGAACAGCTCGAGTAGCTGCAGTAACCATTTAATTCAGCACTTTATGTTTGTTTTCTCTGTGTTACAACCTGGTGTCCATTTGAGGAAGTTGGATAGTCAGGAAGTGCAGCCACACGATGCCCTCATTTGTTTTTATTTAGACCAGCGTAGGAAACAAAAACCCAGATCAGGTTAATTGGTGTCTGTCAGCCCAACATCTCTAACGCTGTCCCCTGGACCGCTCAGCTCCAGGTGGGGCGGGCGCTGCAGGTGTCCAGCAGCCGGCAGCAGTTCCTCCTGGTGGTTCTCAGACGCTCACCAAGGCAGCAGAGTCCACAGAGCCGAGCAAGAGAGACGAAGACAAGTGTCAGCCTAAAGGCCCTGCAGGCGGCGAACAGGTGAGCAGGACACAGAGCTGTCTGTCTTACTTCATGTAATATCACGTCTCTTTGGTCCAGTAGTTAGTATGTCATAGCAGCCATCAGAAATCATAAAACTAAGAGTTCTCTGAGGGTTCCTGTAGCAGCATTGATTCCCATCAGGTGCTGCTTCTTAATATTGAAACATGACAGGACATAAACTGTGCTTTCTGTTGTTGCTGGTACCAGGAGTATTCGTTTGACAGCTCCTCGGACAGCGAGGACAGCGAGGATGAGGGCATCGGCAAGAAAGACAAGAAGAAGAAGAAGAAGAAGCTGAAGAAGAAAAAGAAGAAGAAGGTGAGTGTGGATGTGATCATCGATCCTCTCGTGTCCATGAGATTAAATTGTGTCACCACGTGACAGTCAGTTCATCCTGTGGACACTTTTGGGTCAAACTTGATTCATGAGGCTGACCTTTGCAGAAATCCTGTGTGGTGACTCTGACAGTCGTGATGAGCTCCACCCAGCGACGGCCAGTCCAACAGGAGGGGAGTGGGAGCCGAGCTGTTTGTTTATAGTGTGGCTCAACTGTCGGTTCCTTCATGGCATAGCTGCAGTAGGTGTGTGTATAGTGGAGGTTTCTTTGTGTTGCCAACTGCTCAGAGCCCCTCCCTGCTGCTGTCAGGCCCTCCAGCTCTTCTCAGGAAGGACGACGAAGCCTCATGCTGTGTTTGTAGTGACTCATTCACAAGGAATCGTTTCTCACTTTCACCAACAAAAGGAGTGTATAAATAAACTTGTTCAAAGTGTTCACAAAGGTGAGCAGTGACACCCTCCCTCTTCCTCCACAGGACTCCAGCTCATCTTCATCATCATCTTCCTCCTCCTCCTCCTCCTCTTCGTCCAGCAGCTCCTCAGACAGCGACAGTGAGGTAAGCTGAGGGTTGCCATGTTCTGACCACTGACTCCTATGTCCTCACTTTGTCCGCTTTGAAACTACACATAAAGTTGACACATGAGCAGCATGCGGGGAAAGTAGTTTTCTCAATCAGACTCGTGGCATCAGAGGCTCGTGTTGCCTCCTGCAGCAGAAACAGCCTGCTGTGTGCGTGTTGTCATCACTGACGTCGGCTTGCTGTAATCTTTCACCACACTTTGGTGTAAAACTCCTTCAGCTGCTCGACGTTTGAGGGTTGTCTTGCGTATATGTCCCTTTCAAATCCCCCATTGTGCGGATTCAGAGCTGACCTGGGCTTTGACGAGGCCATTCCATAATCCTCAGTTTCTTCTGTTTGAGCCTGTCCTTGATAGATTTGCTCGTGTGCTCGGTATCATTATCCTGCTGAATAATCCTTCAGGTTCAACTTGAACTTTCTGACAGATGGCCTCACATTATATGTGATGCTGAATTTATGGCTGAATCAGTGGCTGCGAGCTGCCTGGTCCCTGAGGCGCTGCAGCAACTTTACTGTCTGTGATTCGTCTGTCCAGAGCACATTGATCCAGGACGTCTGCTCTGTGCTTGTGTTTAAACTGATGTTCAGCTCTAACTAGCCGAGGCTTTCTCCCTGCATGCCTGTCATGCCGGTCAGATCCCTTCCTGGGTTTAGGTGCATGCAGCAACACTACAGACTTACCCTGTTGGAACATGTCAGACACACACCGCTGTCATCACCGACTTTGCAGTATCTCAGATTAAGTCATGGCAACACTGCATGCTCGGAGTATTTGTAGACGTCGTGATGCTTGATGTATTTTTATTCTATGCCAGAGTATTAGTTTTGTTTATGTAAATCCCTGTAATGTCCTTCCACTGGACTCATGTCCTTGGTTACGTGCACAACTGCTTCAGCTCATCGGTGCTGTTAGCCTCCTCTAACTGTATGACCCCAGGGGAGGATGTCGTCTAAACTGAACAACACAGTCTGGTCAGAGTGTAATTAAAGAAACAAAAGCTGTTCGGTGTAATTGAGGAATCTAAAAGTTTTTATGTCTTTTTGGACATTCAGGCATGAGAACATCCTCTCTGTCCAGCCTGCTCTATCAGCACTGAACCAACGCTCAGATATTTAATTACGTCTAGTTCAGTTGAGTCTGTCTTCATGTGACTGCAGCTGTTTTCATGTTTTGAGGGCGTGGGTGAAATATCAGGAGACTCAGGAAAAGCCAGTGATTCTTCTCTTACCGTCGTAAAAGACAAAAGACCGAAACAAAGTCGGAGGTTGGCGTACAGCAAATGGCTTCCCGCCCACTGGTTCACCTCTGATGGGACTGAGTGCTCGTTAAACATCAGCGCAGAAAAATTTACAAGAGCAGGAAAACTGAAAAGCAAGAGTACATAGCGCTGGAATGCATTTCACCTGAGGCAACAGGCGGTGGCTGCAATTTACTGGATCTGATAGTCTGACAGCAGAGGAACACGCCCCACAGAGGATTCAAAGACCGTCCGTATCTGACAAACTAATCTGGACTGTAAAGGCAGATGTTTCTGTAGCTTTATTAGAATCAACCAGAAGATATTTAAGTGTGGGTTTGTGTTTCATTCACATGCAGGACCGTCTGTACAGGTCAGGTCAGTATTTATGTGTTGACTTATTGCGTTACTGATAGCAGCCACCCGTCCTGGTCCGGACCTCCTCTGAGTCCATACTTTATTAGTCAAAGGAAAATCCCACTTTGCAAACAAGGTCCCTGCAGAAGCACACATACAGTAAAATGCAGGTATAGAGGAGTTCATCTTCAGCATTTGCTTGCAGGATGACAAGAAGAAAAAGAAGAAGAAGAAGAAGAAGAAGGGCGAGGAGAAGGAGTACGTCTGGGACAACGTCATCATAGCTCAGACTGGTGAGTCAAACAGGAGGTCTCTCACTTACAATGTGAAACGTTTTTAAGTGGCAGCTAAGGTCAATGCATTTCCACGCTCGCTGCTTTCTCCTTTACATAAGCATGTATTGCTCATCATGGGATGTTTTTTTACCAACACAGTGGTATTGAAAACCTCCGGCTCCTTGCCAGAAGTTAACTCATGTGGTCTACTACAGCTTTATTTTCTAATCTCTCCTTAATTCATCTGCAAACTGAAGTAAATGCAGCCGTTTAGCTTTAGTTGCCCTTCACAAAGTGGTACAGAAGCTTCTTTTGTAGCTCGTCAGTGGCGTGAAGGTCAGAGCGTCTCCAGCGTTTATCATCAGTGTGGTGTCCTGCTTCAGGCGCTCAGCTTGTCCCCATGCTCCCCTCATAGCCCCGCCTCCAAACCGCCCTCACTCCCATGGTCGTGGACCGGCGGCTACATACGGTGTACATGGTGGCACGGCAGAGA